CCTTTGAAACAAAGAGATGAATACAAAACAGCTGACCTGGATTTTATGCACCACGCCCAAGTGCTTCAGTTACTCTTGGGTTTGTAGTCTCTTGAACATAAGACATGGGCATTACTTTAATAACTCAACGAAGAAGTGAAACTGAAGATTATTCTGTTAATTGTGTTTTATACTATTTCTTTGTGTGAGAATAGAATTTCTTTTCTCAAACCCTTGCTCATATTAGGTCACCAGTGGTTCTGACAATAATTCAGCATGTTATTCTTTCAAAATGAAAACTGATTCTAAATAGTTAAATGGTGTCAGGCCTGCCACAATGTAAATCTCTAAATAAAGACAGTCCTTGGCTCCATCGGTTGAGAAAGGTATAGTTTTATTATAAGTCAAGTGTATTGCAATAATGCGAAGCCAGAACTGAGAATCGCATGCCAAAACTCCTAATTCAATTCAATTCTTTGAAAAATTCAATTCTTCCCTTCCTTAGCTGTCTCTGTCTCCACCCTGTGTATCCAATCAGGTTCAGACAATATGTTTTCATAACTGTCAGTCCAGGCATAATTTGGTTTGCAGGTCCCTCCTTCTTCCAGTTGGGTGACTTTGAGGCACTGTCTTGAGGAGATATAGCACTCACTTTCGTTTCCTCAAGCATTCCCCTCCCTTCATTATCCCGCTCCCCACAGTTCATGGCAGTCTGTCATCGCATAGCAATGAAGCACAAGCAAGCATAAAGTGGCAACCGACAAATAGGTTACACCAAGCCATCTTGTAAAAAGCTGCATTATATGAACAGCAATGAAAAACATGATGAGCCACAAGAATACAATAAGAAAAAGATTCTCAAACTTCATGATGCCATCATTCTTTCAAGATTTAGATAGAGTTGAAGTTAGGGTTCTTGTCATTTTGATATCACAAATTCAGGAATCTATGTCATACAATTTAACCAAAGTTAAACTGAATCAATTGAAAACTGCACTGGCTTTCAAATGTTAACAAAAAATTTTCTCTATGAAGAACTCCTTTTTAGAAGTATGGTTAATTCTTGATGATTAGATTGATTTCTGGTTATTGAACTGAAGACAGAGAGGCATTATTTTATATCCTTGTTGGGCAGGGCCAATGAAAATATTGTATGGGTCTTTAAGCAATTGTTCCCCTTATGTAACATTTTCCTCCTTATTAATATTGCTGAAGTGATAAACCAGTAAGTAAGACAATATTAAAGGCTTTATAAGATATCTAAAAGCCCTTATTCTGAGGGAGATAGGTCATTCAAAAATGTGAAAAATAAATAAATAGGAAATAAAATAAAAGGGATGATTCCTTTTCCTCATTGATTACATACTCTTGCTTAGGAAGTTAACTGGGATAATACACAATTGTACCCAAGAGTCCTCTATGTCTACATTAATGTTTGAGAGAAGATTTATTCTATGAACTACAGCTATGCATATCAGTGTCACTTGAAAAGAAATCAGTAGAAGTTAGATTCTTTTATTGGCTTAAGTCCCAGCATTTGTAATGCAGTTGAAAAAATAAGCCAGAATATTATATTTTTCCTTGTCTTTGGGAAAGTCAAGAGTTCAGTCATCTCAGAGCTGTGGCTTTGTATTTGTAGTCAAAGTCCAATCTATGTCAGATTCACTTTGGGCTTTCCTTCCTTCTCTGTCTAGACAAACAGGAAAAATGTTAGTCTTTGGTTTTGCTGCTTTATGTCCAAAAATTAATGGTTACTTTTCATTAATCAACTAGATAATACCTCTGCCTTGCTGTTCTTCTCTCCCATTTCCTCATGCATATTACCGTAATTTCACCAGTCTATCCGTCTATACTAGGTTGAATACGTTATGAGGAATTAAAATTGGATGTTGGAAGCTACCTTAATTTATCACTATAATTCAGAGCTTTTTACTTCTTATGGAGTCATCTACCCTTGCATGCTATTTGCTATTTTCCCCCTTCTTACATTATTCAAGTTAATGACATGTAAATCTCATGTGAGTTAAAATAGCCTCCGTGTTTTCTGGTCTCATCTGCTCAACAAATCATCATTTTTCTGTCTTGTAAGAAGCATACTTTTAGAACCTCTGGCCATGTGTTTCTGAAATGATAGGCAAATGTTAATAAAAGTAGAGGTTTAAATGCAGTAGCCCGAGAGGAAAAAAGGATTAAATAATTCATTTGCATAATTAACCACTAAACTTTCAGTTGACATTCAGATAATACTTAATTGTACTATTTGTCTTATGGCACTGATCTGGGATTTCTTGAACTGCCTTTTAATCTACATTCTTCCTCTGATTGTTCAGCCTTTGCAATTCTAACATACCGTATATTCATGCAAGGGTAAGTGCTGTTGAACATTCTCATTTCCTTCTGGATAAATATGTATTGGATTACATTAGAAGAATGAGAGCTGAAAAAGGTTTTATTTCAAATCTTTCCTACACACAAACTTATCTAGATCGTCTTAGAAAGCCAGTGATAAGTTTTACAAGGATTTTGAAAAGACTGTTGACTTGACTTAATAGCTTTTAATATTTTAGAAATAGAATTTAACTTAATTAACTTAAAGTAAGTTAAATAGAATTTAACTTACTTTAGATATATGATTTTTTTGGTAAATATTATAATTAATTGACTATTTGTGTCTGTAAATTTGGGTAGGTGGTTTTGATTGTTGCATTAATTAGAACATTTTGAATCCAAAACCATTTGACTGGTAACTTTCCTGAGATTTCAGATTTTCCATTTTCTAGCAGCAATCGGCCTTATCAATTAAATTGCAGCTCAGCCTTGTAATTCCTGTTCTTTCTCCAGTGTCATTATCATTTGCTATTCATTTTCATAATACCCAGTTCCATTTTATTATACAGTATACATTTAAATGCTTCCATTTTTAAAATGAAATGTATAACCATGTAGTTCATATTTCATAGGATATGCTATGGAAACTGTGGGAGATGGAGCAACAGAACTTGGGAGTGGGGTGAGAAAAGGAATCAGCCTAGAATCCCTATGGTGCCACAAACAAACTAAATTCAACTCTCCTTGAGTGCCCTCAGCCCTTATTTAACTCTAAACAGGCACTGACCATCAATTGAGAAGATTCTTAGGCATAGACTATAACAATAAATCAGTTTAATTGAGCCTGCATGTGGACAAGGTTTTTCCTGCCTCACAGAAATAGTTCAAAATTTATATGACAGGGGAGGGGGAGATATTTTGCTTGTTTAGAATTTTGGACTTATTTAGGCCCAACATGAGAAGGAAAATTGTGGACATTATATATATGGATGTTATACATGTGATAAGTCAAGCTGAAATGTTCCAGTCCATTGTTTCAGTGTGCCTGAACTTTGCAACATCATGCCAGATATAGTTTCTCTTACCTGCTATCTTCTGCATGAGACTCCACCTCCAAAAACCATAGTATAATACTTGGCAGTTTTAAGATGCACACTTGAGGTACCTTAGTTTGGGGAAGGCTGTTCTGGTAGATTTGTCAAGAGCTAAATTGATTGTTGGGAACTCACCACCCTCAAAGCTGAAATAAATTCATAGAATTTGTTATTTACAATACCTATGAATGTAGGCAAGATCAAGATATGGAATTCCTTAGTATGCCCAAAGCTGGGATGGATAATTTTTCATAAGTAATCTATAGATTTACCTGTATTTTCTAGGCTCTGAAAATATTATAACTTACTATAAAATATAGTGTTACATGCTAATTAGGAGCACCACAATATAAGTACACTAAAACAACAAACCAATAATATAGTACCTAATAATAAATCTGAGAAATCAGATATCACCTTAGTAAAGTTGTTAGAAAATCACACTTTGAAGTCCCTTTAAATATTTTACGTTCAGGTTTCTGGAGGGACATCACAGAGAAGATCATTTGACTTTCAAGAAGGAACCTATTCTACAATATAGGTGTAATGATGGAGAAGCATTGTTTTTTAGTTTCGGCCTCCTTTTATTTCAAATGGGGCACCATGAGCAATTTCTCCTTTGAGGATTCAACCTGGATGGGTTTAATCTCTTATGATCTTGTAGGTACATGAGTATCAAATCATATGGATTTATTTAATTCAAGGTTTTATTGAATTGCTAAAATAAATTCCTCTCTCCTGGGATGCTTTTAGTTATGTGCTACTGCTCCAAAGTTCTAGGACATGGCTACAAAGATCTC